AGAACTATGCAGGAGCTTCCTATTGATACTGCTGTAGGTATGCAGCTGCAAATACATATGTTCCTAAACAGATAATTCTCCTCCTTGCGCGAGTGTTAAAATTAATTATCTAAAACAGTAGCAGACATTGAATGTAAGACAACTCCAACCATCCAACTAGTACTTTACCTTCGAGATTACTAATTTCTGCTTATGAATATAATGACTGTAAGATCTAATTTGTACTTCTACATTCAATTTTATCGTTAACATCAATTATATACTTATAACCTCGTAGAAAGTTTAATAATGCCAAGGGTATTTCTTCCGTGCTTAAAAAAAAATATAATTTTATTCTGATGTTTCCTCTCTGATAGACTTTTAATTAATTATCGAGCACAAGTTATTGTTCTACAAGTTGAAGAGCCAGCCCTGTTACGTCAATTCTTTAATCCGGAGAGAGAACTCTGGTAAATAATCACCGTCCTACCTCCTTATATAATATTATACACATTTTAATTTTTCTCCCTGATGCAGTGGGTGATATATTAAAGCAACAAATTTCATCTGTGTAACATCGATGAATATCGGGCTAGTAATTTTGACCGCGTCTGTTGTAATTGTCGAGTAACGAGACGTGAAATTCGAAGTTGCAAATTCTCGCGGCGAGACGATTCGCATAGTTTCTGCGTTGTTCGCCGGCGAAAAGAGAGATAGGTACTCGGAAATTCGCGAGAAACCGTCTCGAAATGTGGCACACAACCGGAAGGGGAAGACGCGGCGCACAACTCGATGAAGTTTTCAAAGATTCCGTCCCCCTGATTTACGGCGTCGCCTAGGCCCCAGGTGAAACGCGAAACTCGATCTCGAAGGAATCGCGACGTCGCGGAAGGCGTGGATAAACTTAAAATCGAACGAAACGAAGAGGTGCAATCATGCACGCAGTAGTCGCGGGCTGGCGTTACACTGATTAACCGCACGATACGTGTTCAACATCGCAATTCCGCGCTTAATTAGATCGCGACATTGCCTTGCGCTCGCGAGAGAACACTGCCAACTGCCAGACGACAATTTTGATGAAATTTTGCGAAAATGTTCGTTGGCCCTGCCTAAGAAATATATTATAGTTGCTACTATTTCTAAATTGCAAGGGAAACACTGAGAATGTTTGAAACGGGCTCGATCGTTTCTCACAAAAATTTATAGTCAGTTTTAAACGAAAAGTTCCCGATAAGATCGACTACGAATAAACTGATCTCGTTTCGCGGGAGACGATCGCATTAAACCATCCTTTACAGTCAAATGTCATTCTCGTTACAGGTCCAAAATAGTTTTACGGTTCCAGGGGGTTAAACGAAACCAGATTACGGCATAGTCACGAACAAGGCACGTAGATCCCAGGCTAAGCATCTTGTATAGCTTTGCCGATGCGAGATAACGGCAACCGTTTCTCCGTTTACTTCTACCGCCACTGTGCGGAAAATTGCTAGCGGGTTGCACAAGGCCCTGCAACGGTTCGAGACGCGACGAAGACAGATCTCAGACCTTGCGATCTCCCTTCGCTCGAAACGATCGCAATTAACCGAGAAACGTCGATGATTGACTATCTCGTTCGAAACGAAATCTACGCCGGAGCGTTACCAGAGTGCGTCGAGCCAGCCAAAAAGAAAAAATGAAAGTTGACGTTAACGACGCTCCCGGGGCAAGGCATTTGAGGAACGTGGTGGTCGTTTAATTTGAAGGAATATTTGCACAACGAATCGATGGACATGAACGAGAAACTTTCACCTTGCGAATGATTCGAGGCGACCAACGTAAATTAGAAAACGACAGCGTCCATCGCGTTCGATCGAATTCTGCATAACACGTAATTCTTTCTCCTCGAGGTAAAAAATGATCCAACTATGGAGCCTGGAGTTTCTTGTTTCTCAACGTTCGACGATCGTTGCGAAACGAGAATTCGATTTGAATTTTTTGAGAGAATTTTTTTTTAAATAGTATGATATAAGCTACGTTCATTTATATGTTTTTAAAGAAATTTTGGGAATAAACACTAGCAAATTTGAATGATTTGGAGACCCGTTTCAATATATAGAGGCAGTTCGCCGAGAATAAATATAAATCAATGTTGACGATGATACAGGCAATTTACTGTATTTGAGGAAGCCAATTATAAACCATGATTCATCATGGGGCGCAGTTTAACGTGCGATATTAATTTGTCTGGCCAATATTCTTGTGTGCTCAATATTGACAGTTTCGATCGGGGCATTCAAAATTTAACAGAGGCCTCAAATTTACGACGGGACGGATGGAAATGGAAGTGGAAAATCCAATATAAAGGTCTGACTTGAAATAAACGCATAAATCTCACCTTATATTCGGCTAGATTGGCGTCCGGATGTCGTCGGTAAGCTGGACAATTCTCATCTATTTTCGTGACTACGTGGCCCCAAATAATTTGACCTTTTGCTAGATCGCACACATGGACAGCCTCGATATCTTCAAAAACGTGAGAATTATTGTTATATATATAAAACTGATAATAAATAATTCTAAAAAAATTTCTAAACAGGGATATATTAATTCCGTTTGTAAATAAGATTGGATTAAATTAAATTCACTGATGTTTTATTATTTTCGTGCATCGTGTCCGCGCTTTAAAAAGTACCTTGTACTCTGCAAACGTCGCGAAGAAAGTTCCTTTCGACCATCCTCAAAGAGTTGTCTGAACAACACGGCAACGGGGTCTGAACGCAGATGTCGGGAAAAAATCGCCTGACCTTTAACCTGTTTCCGGAACACGTGAGGCATAACTTCGCTGCCCGCTCTCGTCTGGCTACAGTTTCTCTGTTCACGTAATACAGTCTCTGGTTAACCGTGTACCGAGAAATCGCGAGGATAACGAACCGTGAGAAACGGCGATTCTAACTAATCGAAATTAACATTTGTCAGAAGCAAAAATAAAAGCAAATACGAGAACTCCGATGCTTTTCTTCTTTAGTTTAAATAATGTTAAAGTATGCTCGATGCAAAGAAAGTAACGATTAAAATCTGTCGAAGGTTACACGACGATACGCACAGTAAGACAAACGAAGGAACACTGTGCTGCGCAACTACCTGGAATCTTCGTCGAACCCAAAGTTTACGATTCCAAGGGTATCAATTTTTTGTTTATATTTTGCTCGGCTAGACTCGTTGCTCGACTTACTTTGCGTCGCTGAGGGGACGAAACGTCGTGACGCTAGGACTGCAAAAACGTCCACCGAATTTTTCCTTTATTTCGACTCGTAATGGGATGCTCGAGACGTGTCAAAGAAAGTAAAAGCGTGCTCGAGACAGAAATACCCCGTACGAGCGTCGGAGTTCTCGCTTCGGCTCAAAATTTCGACACGAAACGAAACGTTTTCCGCGCAATATCGCACACGCAATTAGCGAAACAATCTGCGCACGACGGTCACCAATTAATAGCTGTCGATTTTACAACCGTCAGATCATAAATAATCGTTCCGCGCCCGGGCTCGCGTACAGTTCGATACATTTTACAAATTACATCAACAGGCATTATTTTATGATGCAGTTGATACGATCAGGTATAATAATTGACGATCGGATATCACCGTTTTAGCCGCACGGCCGTCGCAATTAAACGATATATTTAATGGAAAATGATTAAATCCGTTTCGGTACGAAATTTCTTTCGCTCGAAGAAATACACGTTGCTTTAAATATCATTTATTTCTAGCGGCGATGCTTTTACGCACGACCATTTCAATCGTTCGATGTCTTCGAACTATGGCGGACAATATTTTGCCCGGGCGATAAAATCGGAGGCGCGTAGGAATGTTCAATAATTAATTAAACAGTGCGCTGAACGAGAACTCATTGTTAGGAAGTACAAGAGATCGAGAGGAAGTACTGCGGCAGTCGAGAGCAATTCCAATCATTCTTCATTATGAGGCGACGACACCTAACAAGTACAAACCGCCCGAGAGAACCGTCATAATTTAATTTATAATACGCATTCCGCCTCGATTTTCCATAGAAATGCGCTTTCAATGAAAAATAGCGAACGAGAATTTCTTTCTCCTATAATATTGTATTATGGTGTCCCAATGCTCCGCGATTCGATTCAATTAGCTTCTTGTTATTTTTAAATCTTCTATCGCGATCAAGTGTATGCTCTTGCTTATCGAGGAATAATATCCTGTAATTGTTTGCGCTTTCTTTGTTCGTTTCGTTTAATTTTAGAACGAGCCTGCGAACAAATCGTAATTTCAATGCTTTTACTATTAATAATTTGTGTGTATATTAATTTTAGATTATTCTTTTCCTCTTACCTTTGACTCTAATCGATTCTCTCGTTTCTCAATCAAAGCACACTCTCAAAGATCTAAGTACGGTGCATGCCAAATCGTGTCGTGCACTCTACAAATAGAATGAAACGAATGTAAATAAAAACGGAACATATAATAATAAAACTCAGACACGATTTATTAGATATAAAAATATTAATATAATTTACAACAATGCAAAAGCAAATTAGTTCCGTTTAAACCCTGAATGAGAATATCATACTTTTGTTACATGTTCTGCAAAACAACGCAACTAAAAGGAAAGATTTATTTATTTAATTGTACTAACATTAAGTGCTGCTCTTAGTACTGCACGACTTTCGACGATTCAAGATGATTAACGACAATCGTCTAAGACTGTACTTGTCTTTGAAACAAATTCCAAAGGTTGCTGATTTTTCGACGCGAAACACTAGGGAACTCCTCAACGCCTAGACGATGATCGCAGAATACTAATCAACGGCTGTTCCCGCGTGTCTCTGTCTCGTTGCATATTCGCATAAGAAGTCTAAGTACGAAGGAATATTTCCTGCCAGCAATGACCAACACAATGTATATAAAAACACCGTTTAATAATTTAATATTTATTTTCCATAAAAAAATATAATCATTATATACAAATATATGAGTGTGGACGAAGGTGCGTGTCGACCGGGTCCGTCCTTATCAATGGTGTCCAAAGGATATTTCGTGTCCGCCGAAACCGCCCCCGTATCCGCCACCTCCGTATCCACCGCCTCCGAATCCACCACCACCTCCCAAACCGCCATGACCGCCGCTGACCAGTACTGGATAAGACTCCTTAACGAGGACGGGGACCTTGACTGGGTAAGGAACCTCTTTTTCAATTGCGATCGGTACCTTGTACGGCACGCTGACCGGGTATGGAACCTTCACAGGCACTTTGACGGGCACATTGTACGGCACTGGGACCGGTTTCTCCACTGGAACCGGAATCTGTTTCTCCACTGGAACTGGATAAGGTTTCGGTATGTGTACCGGAACTGGACGCTCGACGGGGATATGAACCGGAACAGAGACTGGTACGGGTACTGTTCTCTCGACAGGGTACGGTTGAGGCACGCGAACTTGGTTCTCTCGATGGATCGTGATGCCAGTTATGCGACCTCCGTCGCCACCTCCGCCTCCGCCTCCGCCTCCGCCTCCGCCGCCGCCGCCACCCCCACCGAATCCTCCACCTAGACCTCCTCCAAGACCTCCACCGCCGAGGCTCAAACCTCCTCCGTATCCACCCAGTCCACCTCCGTGTCCTCCACCGAATCCTCCTCCGAAGCTTATGCCGTGACCACCGAAACCGCCGCCTCCTAAACTCAACTCCAGTCCTCGTTTGCTCTTTTCCTTCGTCTCGACGGTCGTCTTAGCGGTCGCCTTGGCGGCCGACTCCTTCGTGTCGCTGGCCAGCGCCGCCGTCGCCACCAGGGCGAGTATTAGTAGCTTCTGAAGGGTAGAAAGGTTATTAACTGTACGAGTTACGGAAACCGTAGAAGTTCGTCGGGTGTCTGGTCGTTTTGTCACAGTGACGTAACTAATATAGAACTAATAGGAGAAAGTGCCCGGTGAAAGGGAAATTATGAAAAATCTCGATACCGCGCGTAACCGTCCTACGCAATTGAGCACAGCGTACCCTGGTTGCTCGATCGTTGTGTCACGAACGAAACGAAACACCCGGTTTTGATTTACGGCTACGCGTTCGACGCTCCGCGCCCGTTACGTGAGATATTAATGAGAGTGTGTAACGGTACCAAATAATGGTACAAAACGACCGCGGTCTACCAACGGTGGAGAAGAAAGAAAAAAAAAAAGTATATGTATCGATAACGTAACCGTGCGCGGTTAGTGAACTTTCTCCGACGCATTACGTAAAACCCTGTCCCTTGAGCTGTTCGGTAATATTAAAGCTGTGTTCGTGTCCCTGGTCGAAGAACCGCGAGCTCACCTGCGGAGTGCTCATGGTATCGTTCGTAGGTGCACACTGAAGCTACATCGCGCCAATCACTGGCATATATACCGTCACTTTCGCCGTGGCTACTGGCCCACTCCCCGGAAAATCCTACTCGTCCACCGGCATTAAAGCGATCCGATTGTGCTACCGCGTCACCGCGAAGGAGCTGTGCGTTAAGGGGGCTTTCACCTTTAAAAACAGACCAAAAAAATCTGCTTTTCGTTTTTCTGCCGACCGTGTCTCTAGAAAATATTACGTTGATATTTCGAAAATTCTCGATCCTGCAATAGCAAAAACGTTCTGGTAACAGCACGTGTCGTTTGCACTATAAACACCAATTTCCTATCTTCGCGAATCACGGAACATTTTTCATCTCGACACGCTTCCGGAACAGTTTGGATTTATTAAAAAAGATTTATAAAATCTTTTAATTTTTGAAATAAAAATCAGAATATATCTGGGCATGAAATAAAAAGAGCTGATATAACGATTGCTCGACGATTATAAGGTTGAAAGATTTATTACCACTCTTTGTTTTATTGCAGCTTCCTCACGTAGAAAGAGCAGTTTCGAATGAAAGTTTTTGGAAATTATGAAAGTGTGTTCGAATTTCGCGAAATGTAGAGAGGTGCCTTCGCGTTGTAGAGAAATTGAGAAGTTGTTCGATAGAGGCAAAAATTGCAGCTCGCAACCATTGTTTTTGTTTAACCTGATTACGTTTTTTGAATCCTTAATATGCTATAAAATCTGTAATTCGTGCATACTTAGGGAAATGAGTAAATAAGTAAACAAAAAATGTGAGACTGTACTTCTTTCCTGTATCCACGTGTTCCAATTGCGGTTACGCTTATGTAAGATTCAGGTAAGAAACTTTTGTTGCGATTGAGGTTGCCACCAACTTATATAGATCTCAAATTCTCAACTGTGTTCCTACTAAATCGTTTATGAGTACGATCCTCTTTCTACCGTGTCAACTGCATATATTATGGTTTTAAATTCTTAACAATATCTTTCATATACCGAGGATGACCCCAATATATGACAATTTAAAAATTTGAAACAATAACGCCGTCCAGTAGATGGTATCGTATATAATAGACAATTTTAGAAAATAACATTCTAAATCATCGTCACAATTATATTTCGTAAAAATCAAAATAATTGGAAAATTACAATAAGGTTCATGTTTTTGTTAGCAAATGGTTGTCAGGTCATATATTTCAAATAATTGCGTGCTTTCACCGTTCTGTCGCCATATCGACTGTGTTATTACGCAGCAATGTTGTCTAATACCGTGGCTGCTCTATTCGCATTACTTTAATTTACACAGCCATCGAGTCAAGTCATGCTGTATAGTTAATCATAGGATTAACAAATTTTATTTCATACGTGCAAAAAATCGTCACCATTTTTTGCTCTGCGATTCAACGAAAAAGTAATAAACATTCATCGTCAAAGTACACGATTAGATAATTAATTCTTGTCTTTGGTTTTCGCGCCATCTTTACAAAAGTGGATTTACCTACCTTCATTCACATCGACTACTTTCTCACGAAGGTATTAGGACATAATAGCATTCCGAAGCTTTTGTTCCTTTACAATATTTAATTCCACAACTATTGGATAAACGTTCTCGTGTTCATTCTTCCGGAAGAAAGACTTTCTTTAATCCAGGAATTTCAACGTGGGTGTATCATACCCAACGATCCTATTCCCACGTTTACCATTTCCTTTATGGTACCGTGTGTATGAATTTATTTGATTCAAGGAAACACCCCAATAAATGTTTCTCACATTAATATTCAAGGATTTAATTCTATGTACTTGCTAGCTGTAAGTTTCTAAATATGGTTTTATAAATATTCTACGGATCTACGAACATAGATCTGTTGCTTAAAGGTGATCGGTAATGGGTAGAAAACGCTTCTAAATAAATCAAACGTTCGTTTCGTTAGTAAATAAACGGTAGCTGGTTTTGGTCGGAAAAATGATCGTTTTAATCGCAGTAAGTACCTAAATAATTTTCTTCCTGCTGGAAATCCCCCCTTAAACCTTCTTCCCACGGGCTACATGGAGCTTGATTACTACCGGATCCCCCGGAACAACCACACGCGTAACGTGTCCGTACATTCGAACTGTTTCGATTCGCTCTCGGTGTCCGTTCACCCGACGAGGAGGAGCCTGCAATTTACCATGGAATGATCGCCGCGACCAGTCTTCTTCGGCGTTTCTTTTTCTTTCACTTCGGAAGGAGCGGCGCGCGCTCGCCTCCGATTCCAACGCTCGTGCCTCGTAAAACCGTACCGGACATAATTCCGATCGAGACCCCCGCCATCTTACGTAACCACCCGCTCTCGATGTTTTGCGGATCGCTTCGCGGCAAGGAAGAAATTTGAAATCGTTACTGCGAAGAGGAAGCGATCGTTCCTGCACCGATACTCGTTCTCGAACTTTCGGCACGCTTTTCTATGCAATGCACGTCATAACGAATAGTACGACTGGCAAGGAAACGATCCTGCTCTCGAAAATAAATCGAAAACGCGTTAAAACCTTTTTTTCGTACCGTGGCTCTGGTTTCGAGAAAATTGATACTCACTGGAGGCTTGTTTTTTTATTCTTTTTTTCATCAATACCAGCAATCAATTTCGATCATTTTCTGTGTATATCTGGTAGCTCGATTTGTGGTCTTTCAAATTTGAAGCGTTATTAGAATCGATACAGTAGAATGATCGACTACGCCCGTTAACCGGAAATCGATATCTAACCGGTGGTTAGTCATCCAAGTTGGTTAGCGTGTTGGTCTTTTTTCGTAGATACAGGAGAGAGGTAAATCCAATCACTTGTACGCGTGTAATTTATATTTAATGTATTCAGAATGTATATCTTTCTTATATTACCACTTACACAATTCTTCCTTATAGCATGCACGATCTTTAATTCTGTAAATCCCTTATCGAGATCGAAACTTGTATTTTGTACAGTTTTTCTACTAATAATATACGTCTATAATCGCACAATAGCACGTGCTTTATGCAATCTCTTCGAAAACGATGAAATATTTATTTCTGCGTGTAGAAACATTTCCAATTTGACTGGTAATACTATTAGCCGGTAATTTACTTAACTTATTCCAGAAACTCTCATCACCGAATGTGAATCCCATCCAAGAGCAATCTCTTCACCTTCCCATTATACATTCATTGAATTTGATCGTTTTATTAGTTCGGATAGGTTCCACGATGATCGGAGCCAGTAAATAAATGCAAATTTAACGAGGAAAGTTACGAAGAGACTCGACGATGATTCAAAAACATTGGTCCAAGAAATCATTTTTATCGCTAGCGAGAAGGCTTACGTAATCACGTAACGACAGAGCATCGATAATGTTTATTCGATGCTTTATGCGACCGGGCCAAAAGGTACAATTAACAGTTTAATATCCGGGCGAAATTTATCGATCGCCGGTTACGCATCTCCGATACTTTCCATCTTTCACCGGAGCAATGTTACAAAACTCGGCTCGTTTAATGCAGGTGGGCGCCCATTCGCCGTCCATTACGCGATCAAAAGTACCTCGCGAGAGGAAAGTTTTTGGGTAACGCACGTAACCACGCCGGTGAAAATCGCCGGGTCGTTATCCCCGGGAAGAGAATGGAACTTACGGCTCGCTTCTGGATATCAAGTTGCTCGACAATTAATCGCGGAACCCCAGCCTTTTCATCGATTTCCATCGATCTGCGCCATTATAGGTTTCACGTCCTCGCGTGCAAACGTAAACTTTTTCCTCTTGCATCTTCTCGCAATTTATAGCCCCAAAAATTCCTCTATTACATTTGCAGATCAAAATTTAAACAACCACTAGAGATATAAAGAAACAGAAACTTGAAATTTTTATCGAAACTAACCCTATTCAAAGACATTTAAGAAATTTTCTTCTCTGCACGTTGAAACGAATTATCGTTTCGTTGCGTTCTATCGAGGGTTTAGATGCTAGTGGTGTTTTTTCGAACTAATATCGCGGGCCTGTGTTGGAAAATTCAGCGGAAAAGTGACGCATGTTTCGAAGCAACGTGTCGAAACTAATCACTGAATTTCCGTAACGAATTTTATTACAATAGACGTACTGCGACACCGATCACAAAGGGATGGGACTGCGTCGACTTTCTCCCGTTGTCGCGGACACGCGCGTACGCCATGAACTTAATTGACGGATTCCCGGCATCATGCTCGATGCTCAGTTAATTAAAAAAATAGATCCGCGATACGCGAAGGAAGTTGTTAGGCGTCACGGCGACCGACAGCATTGTCGCCGGGACTGGCTTAATCATCGTCGCACGTTTCTAACGTTACTCGTCGTCGCAGCCTTTACGGTCACAAGTACTTCCTTGAACGCAAGAAGATCGTGTGGCGTGTCAGATGATTAAAGTATCCTGAAATTTCACACGAGACCCGGAGACATGAATTTCAACGTCTCTTTTAGCCAACGATCGAACCAATCTCCAAACTCGTACAAATAAACAGTTCACGAGGGTCCAAAAGTTTTCCTTTTTCAAGGCAAAATAAAGTTCCTGCTTAGACTAGTGGAATATTAAAAAGACACTTTTGTGCGACGGATAACTTAAAATCTCTGCGATACCAGCGCGGTAACAGTTTGCGAAAATTCATTACTCTCGCATCCCGTTACCGAACGATAAATTACAATTACGTATCGCGCGTTCAAACACGACAATCGTCGATTCGTACAGCGAACGGATTGAGCAAATCAACGAAGCGTGAAAATATTATAATCTCCGACAGATCGGGTTTAAATTATGAAGTCGAAAATATATATGCACCGTCCGTGTCACCGCGTTGCAGTCGTTGCATGCGTGTTGGTAATGAATAACGAAGCTACAGGGACGCCCGTTGATCATTTCCACGGATGCCCGGACTCGCAGAAACTTTTTACAAGGACCAGTTTCATAATCATTTTACGGATACTTTGACATTAAACTCTCGCCCGAGTTACGGTGGCCAATATTTTCGCTGTATCCACAAATTAATGCACCGCGATCCGACCGGGAACCACTTTCGTTCGAGCATCGCAACACGCTATTAGCGGGGAACTCCATCGCGCGAAAAAATACATTTTCCATCACGGTAGCCATTTATCTTCGGCTGTACCTTGTTTTGCAAAATGGGCGAACGTGCATCCAGAGATATGGTTAATTGCTTTTACAAAATTAACAGAGACGAACACGGCTGAACCTGGCACATTCCAACGCGTCCCTTTGCCGGTATTTTAATCGAAGAAAATATGTATAATGATCGAAACGTGATCAGAGTGTTTTTGTCTCGATGATGTACCAACGAAAAGTAGAAAAGGAAATTCATGCTCAGACGAGAGACCGTCTTTTGTATCGCGCGAAATTTCAGAGCGAAGAAGAGAGTAAACGCGAGTCGTCGACGGATTTCTGGAGGATTCGCGACGGTGTGGACGAGCAGGCAACCATTCGCGACGATGACAAATCGGAATTGGAAGGGGGCAAGACGAAGATGAAAGGGAAACTGGCGGCGAAGTCCTTTTTGGTCGTTCGCAGTCGCTCTAGGACGCGAATTAAGTTTGCTCCGTGGCAGAGAGGAGGACGAGGAGCGAAAAGGGCGAAAAAGGAAAGGGCGTAACTAGAAAACGGCTTGATAAACACCTTGAGCGAGAACATCCATCCATATATTCATGAGAGCCGCGGCCTGGCCGACTCGAAAGCCATTATTGCATAAGGCTACGTGTGCGGTCGGTGAAGCAGAAATGCAGACTTTGTGAAAATTCCGCTCCTACCGTCTGCCTGCACGCTCGTTGGCCGCGGGGATTTACTCGGTGCTCTTAGGCTGCATTTCCGTAACTGTCGCCCCTGCGAATACGAAGTTCGAGAGGCTTCGATTCGTTCGAGGACACGCCCGAAAATCACCATTCGCGTGACTTTGTCGATTACCTAGCCGCGAGAGATCATTGGAACAGAACGAGCGAACGTACCGGATATACGTTTCTGAAGGTGCATGAAAGCGGCGTTATTGTTACGAGAAAGAATCGCGTACCGATAAAAATGTTCGCGGTGTATCCATTATAGGAAATACAAGGAGCGGCCGTTTATGTAATTGGAATATTACAAATAGCCGCGGATTACCAGGAAACGCGAAGTACAGAAACAATACGTACGAAAACGGTATCGAATACATCCCGCACGTAATATAATCCCGAGCACTTGCCAAAGTTCCGTGTACGTAACGAGACGAAGCCGTTTATGTGGAAAATATAGTTTTCACTTTAACGAATTTAATATAAAACGGTTTCCCAATATCAACATTTTTTCAGCAAATCGACTGCTAGAGAACCAGTAGTATGCCAGAGGCGGTAGCCCGTGTAAATAAAAAAAAAAAACAAATTAAGAGAAACCTACATGTATTCGTCGACGTGTACGAGCAAAGGACTGTAAACGCGGGGAAAAGTAGAAGAGCGCGCAAATCTCTCATTTTACGGATCTTGGAGCCTTTTAATTGCTAGAGAGAGGGGGGGGGGAGGCAAATCGTGACATAATAGTAGCACGAAACGTATTGCTGTCGGCGTGGAAATTACAATTACTAGCAACAGAATTGGCCACGTGGTGGCGTCGAAGCGTGTTATTAGCTTCAAATTCAATGAATGAAACAGCAACGTTCGCAAACAAATAGATTCCCGTCACGGAGATTTGCGCAATTACTTGGCACCTGTGACCGACCGTCCACCTAATTAATACGCTTCATTACGCCTCCGCGGTAAAGAATCTTTTTTCTCCTCTCCGACGCTTATCTTAGTATATCGCTACAGAAAAACCTCGCGTTAAGATTTAGTCATTTTCTATTGTAATAATGATATCCTTGGAGTGTCGTACTATTGAAACTTTTGTTTGAGTAATATCCAACCCTCCAAAAAGGTAGAGGGTGTTTAGTCAAAGTATTTTAAATCTTATCTTCTTCTAATATTAATTTTACTTGATTCTTACTGTTGCTTTACTGTATTAAATAAATATCATCAAAAAGCTTCAACAACTCTTGAAGTACTAACCATCGATGTCTAAAACCACATACATATATTGGCTTCAGTATTTCAAGCACTATCATCCTCTGACTCCTATAACGCTATGACCCGTTGTCAGATCACCGTGCGTCATCTCGATCGACAGGTTTCACGTACCCCAAATCGAGAAACGTTTTGAACCTTCGATCGACGTAACCTGTTATTGTACGGAAATCGGTTTCCCGTCCGAGGAGATTGCGGCCGCCGGAAAATCTCTATAAATTCATCGAAAACAATTTAATCCTGTTCGAAGGCGAGGCAGAAACTATCGACAAACATCTTCCTCTCGCTTTTCGTTCCCGTCCCGATCGAACCTAATCGAAGCCAGGCCGGGTTCGTCGTAACGCACCGACCTATCTGGCCGGCAGTCAAATCAATATTTTCAGATTCAAATATGGAGATTCAAATTCAGATATATGGAAATGTATTCCCGCCGATAAGCCTGATAAACCACGGATACGCCGGATATTCTAATGCTTTCCAACAGGCGAGATCAAGGTACAAAGTCATTCCGAGATTAACCGCGCCCCAGGGAGCTCGTCGGTTGATAACCAAAAATCGTTGGCGTCCCGTAACTCCTGGAGCACGCCGCGAACAGACCGCGAATAACGTTCAACGGAAGCGGCGGCATCGAATCTAACGGTTACGTCGAGAATTTTATCGGCCGTTCCTTCGGAAATATGGGCCGTTTTGTATTTCGCGATCCACCCCCGTTTTCGAAACGGTTTCCACCGGGCGTACGAGGGAATTATTAAACGTTAACTGAATTTAACATCGGAAACGACGCGGCGGCGAGCGTTTTATTTCGAATCGAAAAGTTTCGGACGGAATGTAGGTTAAACTCGCGCCCGTCCACTATCCGCCGGAGTGGCCAAGTTTCTTTAACTGCGACAGAAGGAAAGAAGGTGCAAATACACGGAAGAGCGTAGTTTCAATGCCTTCGGAGAATTCCTAATAGTCTCGCTTCTCGCTTTAATTAAGCTCTTAATATTAATGAAGCTCCCGACGATGTGAGTACAGAGATGTAAGAACGTATTGTGAACAGTAATCGGATTAAAAAGGGCCAACGGGAGCTGAATCCGTATTAGTTGCGCCGGTTCGCTCCGACGGTTCATCCCGTAATTGAAAACTTGGCGACTCGGGGAAACGGCGGTAAGTAACGAGAAACTTCGAAGCCAATCGACGCGCAATTCTGACAAGTGCATCCGGAATCGAAACGCGATTACAACTTTTTTTCGTTCCGGCCGATCCAACGAATTTTGCATAATCTCTCCGAGCGCGATACTTCACGACTGCGCGGCATCATCGTTCGTTCGAAAGAAATTAAAAAGTTACATCGAGCCGAAAGTTTTCATTCCACGAGTCGATAAACTCGAGTTTGAAAAATAATGGATAATGGATCCTAAGTACGCTTAACGCGGATAAAAAAAGTTCGACGTCGAATCGTGTCTACAATTGGGACATTTACCTTAAGTATTAACATGGCATGGGGCATATGCGGCAGTTGGCTGGGAAAAGAGGATTTTCGCTGCAGGATTTAGCTTCTCTAATTGGATATTATAAGATTATTGACTCTATAGTAAAATCATTATATTTTAAAGAATGTGGCAGCACGTTTGTTCGAAAAATATATGATGTTATTTAATGCGTTCGAATTTTTAACCAAGACCTCGGCAGTTTACTGCAAATTATTGGCGCGATGGGTAGTAATTATTGGTCCCAATGCGTGCTGATATTGCTCGAGATATCGACGGGAAATATATTTGTATCGCAGAGGTTCTAATGTATAATACACGCTACGAAAGAGGCTGGATCGAGCACTCGTTTGGACCAAAGGCCTAATTTATACTTTGCTATTATGTCACAGGACGCGGATGCATAATTATTTTACGACAATGAAATATAATTTAAAGGCCACTTTTCAATCGCACCAACACCGGCCATTATTCCATTATGTAAACGCGTGTAGGATCGAAAAGAATGCAATAATTTTCACGAAAATAAGCGAAAGGATATAATTATATAAATTTAGCGTGGAATAAACTCTCCTCTGGCGAGGAGGAAAAGTATTACATGTTTAATAGAGAATCAACTTATGGTTAAAATAGACTTTTCAAAAATCTATTTTCACTGCCATAAATTTTTGAATAATCATGAATATTTTACCGTGTTGATGTAACCTTTGAAAAGTCGAACGAGAAAAACGCATTAGGTCCATTCGTGTCACGTTATTATACTTGCGTAAATCGCCACAATGCGAGTTAGAGCCATTTATGTTAAACAAGATTGTACTCAAATAGAAAGTACATTCACTTTAAGTAACATTTTAAATTCAAAAAAAAATGAATGAAAATAATATTTAGGTACATATAAAGAGTGAAAAACAATAGTAATAGTAACTTTGCTATTACTACATTTGAGAAATTTGTACTTTTATACAATAGGTATTATAGACTCAGTGAAAGCCAAAAGAGGATCGTCGAAAGCTCCAACGTAAATAAAGACACGTTTGCATCGATCGATAATATTTTTAACGTTTACAAGAATTAATTCAAAAGTCAAACGAGACCCAAATTCGCGTCGCGACAGGAGCAGAGTTAAAGGATTCGCCGGGCTGTTAGTAGCTAAAGGAGCTTCAAAAGCACCGAGCAGCGTTAAGGAAGAAATTGCACGAAGCTCAGGGCAACTTGCTAAATGCTGGCTGACAAAAGCTAACGGAGGAAAGCGTCGTCCATGACGTCGATCTCTTCCTTTCCTTCTCTCAACTTCCTACTCCGCTACAATTTCAACGGCACGCTCGAGTTGCCCACCGGACTGGCCGTAGCGTCCCCTATAAAAGCGGGGGTAGACCATCGAGGAATCAGTGTGCTCACTGTCGACCAACATGAACAGCACAGAGAAGCTGAAAGTGAGTAGCTCCGGTACGACAGCCACTTGAATCCCCGTCTCTTGGGGCTCTAGCGACGCGAACGGAGCTGGCGTAACCGGCGAAAATTCGAACGTGTTGCTGTTCTAGACGATATCGCTTAAAGTACACTCGAAAATTCGCTGAATTCTTTACTCGAGGCGATTAACTAGAATTTCATGAAACAAGTCGCGACTCTTACGCGACCCCATAGCTCTTTAATAACCGTTCAATGTTTTTGCCAACTTCGAACCCGTTCGATCAACGACGCTTTTAAAACATCCCGCGGAACAATCGAGACCGACAAATGCCCGCTGACGCGCGACTAACGATCAACGATTTGTTTTCTTCAGATCTTACTTTTCTGCGGTTTGGTGCTGTCCGCCGCGGCAGGAGAGACGAAAAAGGCCACGGAGTCGAAAGTCCAGCCGAACGAATCGAAAACGAAACGCGGCTTAGAGCTGAGCCTTGGTGAACACAGTTTCGGAGGAGGATTCGGAGGAGGTTACGGAGGAGGTTACGGAGGTGGAGGTGGAGGAGGTTACGGAGGTGGAGGTGGAGGCGGCTTCGGAGGAGGCTACGGCGGAGGTAGCGAGACGGTATCCGCGGATCACGTAAAGGCGGTCACGGTTACAAAGACGGTCCATGTGCCGGAACCGATTCCGTACGAGGTCACGAAGCACGTGCCCTACCCCGTCAAAGTACCGATTAAAGTACCGTACGACAAACCAGTCCCCGTCCACGTGCCACAACCTTATCCAGTAACCGTCGAGAAGCACGTACCCTACCCGGTCGAGAAGCCAGTACCTTACCCTGTCAAGGTTCCTGTCAAGGTGCCCATAGGCGTGCCGTATCCGGTCAAGGTACCCGTCAAGGTGCCGTACACGGTGTCAAAGCCAGTACCCTATCCCGTTAAAGTGCCCCTGGTCGTGAAGGAGGCTGTACCCGTTGTCGTGGAGGAACATGGAGGAGGAGGATACGGCGGTGGATTCGGCGGTGGATACGGGGGCGGCGGTGGATACGGAGGCGGCGGCGGCGGCGGCGGCGGCGGCGGCGGCTACGGCGGTGGACACGAACTCAGCGGTTTCGATCTCGGCAGTTACGGGCACCATTGAAGTCAAACGCTTCGCCTCAATGAGGCGGAAGTCTTTGACCTTCTCCGCGTCTTGTTCGATACGAGACGTAACGGTTAATTTCGTGACACCGGTCTCTTCCGGGCTCGCAACACGCCAGCTGCTCGAGAAACGAACACCCATCGGCGAGCAAACGTGCCGTTCGTAGTAGACGTCATGTCGAATGCACCAATATTGTATTCACCCGTGATCCCAACTCCAAATTTTATTGTATAGTATGTTTTTTTGTAAAAGAATAAAATGATATTTTTTATACATAACACGAAAACCGATTACGTAAACCCGGGACACAAGATCGCACGGGAGGAAATCAACCGCGTCAGCGGTTACGCGATTGGGAGGAATCGCCTCCAGAACTTTCACCGATTACTGTTACGTTACCCGGTGGTACACCTGTTCTACCGTAAGCGAAGTGTCGGGGAGAAAAAGACGCGTGTCGTTCGCACGGTCGTTAAGATAAACGGTGCCGCGCGAAAATCATAAGTTGAGAAAGGTAAAACGAAACGCTGGTAATAGCAGAGATTGCGTACGCCTCTCGCTCCTAATCCTCGATACTTTCGATACGTACGTAAGTACGTGATCCGCGGGATATTTGAAGCATTAGAAAATAAGCTTTTCGAGTGCGGTTTTTAGCGGTGGCAATTTGCCGTTAACCGTTCGGACGTAATTTTAACCGCGCGCCATCTCGTTAATTTAAAATCGTAACGCTGTGCAACCGCGTGGCGAGCACGCTCTTTTCCCCGTAACCTGGTTTCATTTCCGCGTGCAACGCTCGTTCCCTTTCGCGAGCGCGTGCGCCCCGATCTGATACCGCGGTGGAAACTGAAAGTGACTACAGAACGGATAAACGAATTTTAAAATCTAGGAAAGTGGGTCCGCGAACGTCGTGAAGCGCGCAAACGCGGCTCGTGGAATCGCAGAACCGTGTCCGTGCACGCGTACGTCCGCGGTCTGTTCGGTTCGACGGGTTCGCAAGTAGCGAGGAGACTCGTTTACGACAATTTCGGACCATTGACGAATGCCCTCTGCGAATATCCGGTCTATCGACCTTGTCCAACGATCAAGGCAAATTGCACGGATGCGGCACAATCGCGTTTCACGCCGTCGCGTATCGATTGCTAAATTATATTGGATATCGCCTCGCCCCCGTTGCGAATTACCCGCTGGATCGCCGAAGAAATTATCGATTGTGCGAAACTGATAATAGCGAATCGAGTAAATTGTGTTTAATTGACCGATCAACGATCTTGCACGATTTGATTCGCATCGGGGAAAATATTTACGAAGTACGATAAACATCGTGCGTCTGTGTGATCTCGAGTGGTCATCGTTACGCGTTTTTTGATTGTGAGTAGCGGTATTAAAAAATCTTCCAAGGCGCAAAATCACTCGTGCGGATATATAATTATTCGCGTTTGCATAAGGCAGAAATACGTAACTTACGGTTCACCGATTGATTGATTTACTGTGGCTCGTGACCTGATTTGAATAAAAGAGGGAACTTGGTTAACTCTGGCGTGAGTTGAGCTGGGTCACTGGATTCACCGACTTTGGAACGATCGTAATAACGAAATTGTTTATGTAGTAAGAAAACCATGATCGCGTTGAGAACGGAACTTTATTGAAACAAACAGTTCTATGCTACGTTTCAAAAGAGAATTTCCCAGTTAATAGTTTTGATTTCAAAGCCGTTTCTTATATTTTATCTGTAGATAATAGTGTTCTATTAGTCGTCTGGAGAAATCATAGTTCTAGAAACTATGGCTATGGTGACTACATTTGATTCGGACCACGGTACTTCCTAACGATTTAACGCCACTCTAGATTTAGTTTCTTCGAAGGAAAACGAAATTTAAAATATGCGGTTCGTCGAGAAAACGAAGCTTTTAATGAAAAACCAGGAAAAAAGGTGAATGTATTTTTTCTTAAACGGGTAGTTTATAATCTACGATGAAACGAGGGTTCGCCGCGGCGGCGTTTAGTACTCAGCAAGCCGTTAAGAAATAATAACCATTAGCCAGGTTTATCTTTTAACGTCCAGACGAGTATTAAAAGCGTGATAACCGATGCTTTTGTATCGACCGAGACACGCGCTTGGTTAGCAAATCCCGTTATTTAACGTGCTGCAATCCAGGTAATCATATTTAATGGTCGAGGAAGTTCGCATAAGAGGGAAAGAGATTTCTTCGATTAGTCGCGGGCCGCATGTGGATGGTGTTCGGGTATAAAGGAGAACGATGCAAATACGAGGTTCCCTCGTGCGCGAGTATGTCGATTGCATACCGTGAGTTACGTTTCCGTCAATTGTGACGCAAACGTTCCTTCGCGCGAATGCATTATTTTGCCGGTCTGTTGCGTTCGTTCGTGTCCGAATCGTAATGTCTCTGAAAGAAAATTTTAACGTCTTCAAAACGACGCGGAAAATTGCTCGTAAATAGCTGTTGGAAGCCTATCGTTGGCTGTGACCGATGCTACCAATTTTCTTCAACTCATTTAGCAACTCTTTGAGATATAACAGTTGGTGCGGTTTTCCAATGTGAGTAGAAATCGAAGAAATCTCTTTAGTTCAATTCAAGCACGATTCTGTGTCATGATACTCGTTCTTGTCAGAAATATTTTCACCCCTCTTACGAAAGAAGGAAGACGTCGATCGTCGGTAGCTGTAGCGTTGAAGTTTGAATACTTCGTATTTGTAACGTTCGCGTTAGGTGTACGCCCTTCTCTTTAATGGGTATATAGGAAAATTCGCAATTATTTATCCGCCTGGCACGGGCAGCGATTTCTACGCTTCCTCGTTCCCCAGAAATTGGCGCGAAATTGTCGAGCACAGGCGTTTCCGAGAAATCGAAGCGTGCTGCGCCTCGATGTAGACGCGTCTGGCGACGTTACACAACGCGGTCTGGAGCACGAGTTTTTCGTTTTACAATTTAAAGAATCGTGACTTGGCGGTTGCATCAATCTCTATTGTGTCTTCCGTCGAGTGTCTTGGAAGAGACGAATAAGGAGGTCCTTTCACGTTCGCGACGCTTTTTTCCACCGATATGTACGTGGAAATCCGCGTTACGTCAGGACATTTCCCACTATGCGCGCCGATCGCAGCGTAATGTTATCGTGCAATCACCGTTCTATTATTATATCCACCATTTACTCAATTTTATTAGCGAACCACGTGTACTTCTTTCCGTCCCGCTCTCCGAAACGCGTTAGATAAACTATAAAACTAGGTAAACAAAAGCGACTACTAATCCATGGAAAATCAAGTTACCCCTTGGGAAATTCGAAGCTTGACCGAGTGACCTCGATAACAAAGACTTTGAGAAGCAGACGAATGTTCTAACGCGTATAAATTTATTTATACAAAAAATTAGATCTCCCAGGCTATAAAAATATTTAAAAAAAATGATGAATGAATAACCAGTTTACACAATAGAACGCGTGAAATGCTTTCGTTCCGCCGTTATCCGTCAAAGAAATCTCGACGAAAGAAGTAACAAGAACGTAACTCGTACGAATTCGAAAGCGATGACCGAGAGAAAAGAACTTCGTGCGCAATCTTTGTTTCGAGCGATTATTATCGCCGAACGATGCAGCGCTCGAAGTGATAAAATAAGACGGAAATGCGAGTTAGAAACTGACGTTTACTGCACGCATGAAGAAATACGTGCACCTACTTGTTATATCCCATCAACCCCTTTTTCATTCCTAGCGAATGGCGAAATGCGCTTATTGTGTATTCGTGCACTCAATTTGCGCATTCGTTCCCCTTCACTTTCTATGTAAACGCGTAAACTTCGCACGTGTGTCAACAAAACTGAACAAATAGCGGAGAATTAAATTCCAACACGCGTTTGTAAACAACAGCGATACGAAGTGTTCTCTGCGAGATAGACCCTAAAGATTCTCAAGGAAATTCGTACGGTCGAGACAATGTTCTGAAAATCTTGTACAATCGTATCGATATCGCGACCTTCCGTTCGCGGATTCACAGAACTCGATGGAATTCCATGGGGTGGCACGCGACACGTCGCGGGAACGTGAAAGGAACGTAGAATCCTTCGTTCTACACGATCCATCACGTTCGTCGATAGACCAGCTTGTTTGCACGAGAAATGATCGTCAACGTAACGTTAATATTGGTACTGTCGACACGTACGGGCTTCGAGTTTGCGTTTTACTCCGTAAGTTCCAACTCCTCCACCCACTCAACCGCATGAAGGGGGTAGAACGGAGATGGTGTTACTAACGGACAATCAAGGAAAAGAAATAAATCAACCAGAAGATAGAATAACAAGTAAGCTTCGAAGAATTCAAATGGGCAGGTTAACGAGGAATATTGTCTTCGTTTAATTGATACAATTACAGTAATACACGGATTGTAACAAAATGATATTGCAAATTTATCGTAATTGTTGGACCATTACTTTCAGCGTCTAAGCTGTGTTTCTTCCTGATAAAGCTTTATAGAATCCTTCGGGAAAGGAAAGGCGTTTAATCAACGCCATTGGAAATGAAAAGACTTAATCGTGCGCCACGCTTGTCGCGATTCCCCGTAAATTGCTGTCGCACGCGCCTTTTATTCGCATCGTCCACAAACATGACTGATTCTTTGTTTAAACATTAAGATTTTGATACACTGTCGCTCTATCTTCTCGTAGTGTCACTTGAGCGTTGTTACGTGGAGCTATTTTCCATATTACGAGAAATCAATCCAAGAAACTCCCGCGACGAACGGTTGCAGCCAGCGACGTTTAAATTTATCGCTGTATTAACTCCTCTACCGTGGTATTGTAAATGCAACTTTCATCGGAAGTAGACCATCTAGAAATTCCCGGTGTTGCGCAACACGTTTCAGGATTACTCATTTAAATTCCACTCGAACCTCGTCAACAATCTGTCTCGCATGATGCAGAGCACTATCGACCTTTCTACTCCCCTGCGAAGTTGCCGGTCTCCCAACCTTTTGTATCTCTTATTTGCATCGTCGCGGAGAAACTTTCCAAGTTCCACGGCACCGGAACCACCCATCGCGATCGAAAGTTTCTTGTGCCAAGACCGTCGCGGTTCTGAAAAATCTTTCCAACGGCCGTGTCGTAATACCCCGTCCAGCATTCAAACATGCAACGACAAAGTCAATGAGACTACGTGCGTACTAGTTTCTGCGTTTCCTACGTCGTGAAAGATCATTTATGCGTCGCGATAAATACAGGCCGATTTTCACGCGTGTTGGCTCCGGTTCGACTTCCGCGCGTATTCGTACTATAAACGGGTTGCTACGTTTTCAAAACGAATGGCAATCTTACCAATCAACTAATTTTTTAATGACTGCATTGCAGAAACGTATACAAAATGTTTTATCCGCGACGCAGGGTGTTCGGCTACTGGTGTAAGAAATCTTAAGGGGCGATTCTACATGCCAGAATAAGACACGATGATTATAGCATTTTACGAATAATAACAGCTATCCCGCGACATATGAAAGTATCGGAAACTGAGAGTGAATGTTTCATATAACTTATGAACAATTAACGTTTCACATCGATGGTTAAACTATGTAAAGCGGAAGTAAGGAAAGCAATGATCGGATATTCGAATTCTTAAGTACAGCTAAGTACACGAGCGATATATCGAAATCGAATTTGAGATCGATATATAAAATACGCTAAAATTAACAATGAGAGATATCGATCAAGATGTGATAGTTCCTAATTGTACTTTAATATTATTAATTACAAAATCATTAAAGAAATACTTACATGAAGCTATAAAAGTAAATTAAAGTTATTTATTAAAATGATGTACTCCCGTATATAAAAATTCCTTTTAACGTTATTACTATTAATAAATTACTACTTATTTTAGATTATTGATGCCTTATGTAACTTATTTTTAAAAAACCTCTATGGGATACAATTTCTTCTATACATATAGAAAAAGTTAGTTTACTAGACAGACGACTTTAAATCAAATTATATTAACCAGAATTGGTACCAGTAATTGCATTAGTTACATTTTCATTCTTTATGGCGAATGAAGTGTCAGTATTTGTATCATCACCTAAATTAGTCCTTTCATCAACATTGTACTCCTTAGAACATACAACTGATGTACAATTACTTTCAATTACTGTACTGGTATCAATAGATGTATTTATAGGGGCATCATTATTCTTTGCTGTAATAGAATCAGTATTTTTATCACCAGTACTAAGGTTTGTAGTGGCAGTTTGCTTTAAAGCTAGATATTCGTCGACTGAACCCAATGGATTTTTATCTGCTACTATTTTACTTCCCGGTTCTGTTACAGGAGATGATGATGGGGAATTTGCATTTGGGGAAGTACTAAGTTTAGAAAGTCTTTGACGTTCTCTCAACCGTTTACGAATTTCGGACTGTATCTTGGACTCTTTTATCACATTTTGAACATCATCCGTTTGATAGTAACGACTCGCCCAAGTTTCAGTTCCATTTAATCTTTGTGCAGGACGTACTTCAACTTGGGATTTACAGTGCTCACTTTGTATAACTTGTTTGTTCTTCTTCTTATCATTCTCACTGTTTTCTATATCATCCATATCATCGCAGTAATTATCCAAGTCAATTATTTCATCCAAGTCACTGGATTTGTCTTCATCTAGCAGCATTTTATTCGATATGCTTGACACTTCACCCGAATTTTGTTTTTTTATTGAATTATTGTGTATTATTTTTGACTTATCATCAGTTCTATGTTCATTTTTATTTAACTTTACATTTTCTGTAATACAGTCTACTGGCAAACACTGATCTCTTTTTGCACTTTTCACATGTTGACTTTCCATGTGCGATTTGCTTTTATGCGTATTTATCTTAGAACTTGTATTTTTTATTTGCTCTTTGGTGTGTAATTTTTTCTTCACTTTTCTTCTTTTCCCATTAGATTTAGATTGAGTATCAATACTACTCACATTATTACTATGAACCCGTTTAGAAACTTCTGTTTTATGAGTGTCTAATTCTTTTTGTGTTTCTACTCCATTTTCAACCACTTTCTTTTCTTTCGAGTTTTCTGCACTATTTACACTATGTACACTACTGATATCTTCATTCTTGGCACTGTCAATATTGTCCTTTGTATTTATAACACGTTCATTTTGCAATTTTTTATTTATACGTACACCACCATGAGATTCACCATCACTTTCACTTGACAATAATTCAATGGTTGGAGTTGGTTGAACCACTAATACTACATCTTCATCCTCCACAGCACTACTCTGTTGAGCACTTATAATCCTTTCCAATTGTCTTCTACAATTTTCTTTTTCCTTCATTTCTTCTTGTTCAATTTTAGCTACAGCATTATCAGTCAAAGTTTCATTATTGGCTGCAGATTTAGATGCATTGGGTATTATATCTTCCTCTTTTCTTATTAAAGCTCGTATTGCTCTTGCCCGCATCTCTAACTCTAACAAATCTAACAAACTATCACCTTCTTTTTCTTTATTTACTTCTGCTTCTTCTTCTTTCTTTATTTGTACATTTTTATAAGTAGTTTCAAGAACTTTCTTATGATTAGGTTTACTATCATTTTTCTTATGAAACAATGATTTCCCTTTTTGTTTAACTTTATCCTTTTTTACCTTTCCTTTAAGAGAATGCATTCCTTCTTCTTGCTTAAGTACATCTTCATCGGTAAACCATTCTTCAGTATCAGAAATAATTTCCAAAGAAGGCCCTATTATAATGAAGATATATTTAAATGCAATATCTAAATCATAACACTTTTATCTTTAAAACATCCTACTTTCTTACATACCTGAATCATCTGACTCTGATGTATCTGATGATTCCATCATGGTTTTCCCATTCAAAATACACAATATACGCACTTTTGACATACCATTTAATTCATTAGCACACCATTCTTCTAATTGCCCAAAATCCATTTTCTACAGCAAATTATTATAGAGCACTTTATTATTTTGTACATATAAAATAATATGCTGATGAGTGCGTAAAGTGAACGAAAATGTTATGTCTAACATAACCTAAAAATCTAGTTACGATAAACTTTGAAAAATAACAAGAATATGTGTCATATGTACTAAATCAATTTTGTTGCAAATGCAGTTTAATATGTGACAAGCCATTACATAAAAAACAAGAAAATAAACAGTTCATTTAACACGTCAATGACAAGCTAACCTTTAACACTTGAGGTAACATCATTTGTATCTTTTCTGTTTTGACAGATTTGAAAAGTTGTCGAGCTAATTCCCGACGATCTGATAAGTAATCTTTAATTGGTTTCAAATCTTGTGCATCTACTTCTTCGGCTGACGATAGCGAGGAAGATGTATCAGATGAGCTACTTGCATCCTGTAATTTCAATGTATTCATTACAAGATACATTATATTACATATAAATTACTTATTTAATATATTACTTTGTCACAAACATATTGTATAAATATTGTTAGTAGACAAAGAATTAAGAAACATAATAATACGAAGGTTAATTACCTACCTCACTACGTGCACTCTTCCTTCCTTTTGACATGTTAATGAAATATTTTACACGCAACAAGTTCGTACAAATGATTTGTGCAAACAGCCTTCAATTTAATTATCTCACATTACATTTTTCAGTCATTTTCAGTCACTTATGTTCTTAAATATAACATAGTCTATGATATCAACACTCTCGTGGCTACTGCCTTGTTGTGGTGGGAGAGTTTGTGTTCCCTAGTGACTTTTGAAGCTATACCGGCGGGGATCTTTGATCCCTTGCAGGTTCTACCATACCGAAAAGGTTTAGGTTCAGGATGAAGAGACAGACGAAATGTAAGACTCCTGTTGGTCGTTAGTCGTTACAATGACCCATTCACAATTCCTTTTTTGGTTTTGTGAATGGTACGTGATGGCAGGAGGTATGAGGACCTTGGCCTATGACGACTCTATGCTCAACGAGCTGTTTTGTTCGTGTGGTTCCGCCAGCTAATTCAAATTGGCGGAGACGCAAAACAGTCCGTTGGTGCAGTCCTGCCACACTGATAAAAGTGGCAGGACAAACTAGGTAGGCTGTCGTACAGGATAACAGTGTCGAACTGAGAAGGAGGCGATGACGATGTGCCATCATTGTGGAGATGTCCAGGACACGGCGCAACACACGCTGGCAGCCTGCCCAGCATAGGCAGATGAGCACCGTGTCCTGGAGTAGGAAGTGGTCGGGACTTCTCGCTGACCACCATTTTACCCACTAGGGTGGCCAGCGGGCATGGCAAGTGGTGCCAGTGGTGGCCTCCTTCTGCGAGATAATCATGTCGCAGAAAGAGACCGCCGAGCGGGGGCGCAACGTGTCAGAATATAACCTATTTCACTGTTGGCAATAATTTGTCAACAAAATGTTACCAATTAAAAAAATTACCAATCTATAAATATAATTCGAAGTGTATGATTCTATTTTCGAAAATAGTATTACCGAGTTTGCATGAATATTTGTAGTGCAAAAATTAATTTTGTGATTCACAACTGACAGATGACAGATAACCAAATCAGTAATTACAACTTCGTATGCCTTTTCGTCGATGATATCATTCGTATGCGCCAATGCTTAATTCCTTAATACGAAACAAAGCATAATTTAGATGCTATTACCAAAAATGTTATTTTACTTATAAAATATATGTTATGACACAATTTATTACATTTGTCACATACCACGTTTGTCATTTTTGTGTTCATAAATAGCGGACAAAAATGCTAAACAGATTTAAATCAGCATTATTGAATGCTGTTGGTGCCAGTGAACTTGGCCTACAGTATCCTAATGATTCAGACAACGATGCATTAACAGATTATATTAATTCAAATTTTGTGGAAGTTGAAAATAAACCATATAGTAGACCTAGTTTTCTAGGATTAACTGCAGAGGAAACTCAAGTATGTGCTTTAATATATGCTATTATTGTATATGAATTAAATATCTCTTCATTCATAAATAATCTTAACATATCTAATATGTATTATAATAGGTAAGTGCTGATCACAGAGTAAGACCAATTATAGTTCCAAGAGATTTGAGTCGGTTACCATGGTGTGCTGGTTATGCAGAATGTATAAATGCAGGGAAAAGTACATGGAATGAGGATCAAGCCTGTGCAATTCGAGGAGATCTTAAACTATCAGATGTTAATATCACATTGCCTTATATCATGTTTTCTATGTTTGATGGTCATGCTGGATACCAAGTTGCTTTAACAGCAAGATTACACTTACATAGGATAATCTTGGTAAGAAAAAACAACTTTTGTCAAAAAAATTTATAATTTGCTTTTGTAAATTGTATTTTCGAATAGTATATATTTATGTCTAGGAAAGGTTAATGGCAATACCTGGAAACATACTATTGAATGAGGATGAAGATGATTTTGTAAAAGGAAGAGATTTAGTCATTGGTGCTATTGAATTAGCATATAGGCAAATGGATCAAATGGTAGAAGTTCAAGCTCTAGATGGAGGTGGTGGTTGCACAGCTATTACCATCTTATTTCTCAATGGTATATTATATGCTGCAGGTGCTGGAGACTCAAGGTGAAAATCCTAATACTTAATTTTTCAGTGGCTATGTCAAGTTTTATGATATAAATGGCAGTTTCAGTTGAGCCACTTGTCAAATATATATTCTTTGTCATTTAATTGGTAAATAGCATACTTTACTATTTTTCACTATAGTTTTTGTATAAACCTCCTGAACATTCTCGAGAATTCTGTATATTTTCGGGATTCCACATTCCCCTAGAAAATATTCGATTTTTGCAAATAAAATTTTACGAATATCAAGCTAAAAACAATCAGGAATTAAATATTATTAGCTTAGAAAATATATAATTGAAAATACTGTTTCTAAGACTCGCGATTCGCCTCACACGGCGATCGGCTTTAGAACATCTAATATAGACAATAAAGATGAGAATAATTCATGACAAATATATAATGGACAGAGCTGTAATTGTGTTGGACGACACCCAGGGTGCACTAACAACAGATCATACCCCTGATTCGGAATCTAATCGTATTAGAGCATTAGGTTTTTTGAGAAGTAATGAACTATTGAAAGGTCACTTCACACCATTGGAGTTCCGAAAACGACCTATGCAAAAGGAATTAGGATCCACAGTTTTGTATAGAGAACCCTATATGACAGGTTGGGCATACAAAGTATTAACTCATTCCGATTTAAAACTACCTCTCATCTCTGGACATGGCAAAAGAGTAACTAGTTTTGACATTTAAACAATAATGATAACATTTATGATAGAAATTTAATTTAAACTTGATATTTAGAGTCGAGTTATGGGTACCATAGGAGTGACACGTGGTTTTGGAGATCATGGCTTGAAAGCAGCCAATACAAGAGTTAACATAAAACCATTCCTATCATCACAACCAGAAGTGCAAACTATACATTTGGACAGTTATAATCCCACAGAACATGACTGTGTGATTGTTGCTACCGATGGACTTTGGGATGTTGTATCGGATAAAGCAGCAGCAAATATACTTAGGAAAATACTTGCTCCTTGTACCCCTACATTGGAATATAGGTACTTATTACTTTTGAGAAATTACAATGTATATTTTAAAGGCAAGAGTTACTAAAAGTTTGTAATTGCAGGCTTACAATGGGTGCTCAAGAATTGGTACAAGCAGCAAGAGGCAGATTAATTGGACGAGTTTGGGTGGGTAAATCAGAAAATCCTGAAGAAACTGACGACAAATTTTCACCTATGGCATCGGTTGATGATATAAGTGTTTTAGTGGTACCATTATATCCCTATATGTGTGAACATAAGCAATGGTTGAAAACAACACATCAAGAAAGAAGATATTCTATGGATTCGTTACACATATCAGTTAATAATTCAATTTAATTATAATTTTGTACAATAATTAATCGAAACTGTAAGAACTAGATACTTTGAATTTTAGTAGCAAAGTTACAGTTGAGATTAAGTGTATATTCACAAATTAGTGTACTAATCAATCACAGAAGTATCATTGCTTTTACACTGCTTTTAACAGTTAATATTTATATGTATATTTAAGTTTCAATTTATCCAACAAGTATTTTTGGAGTGATAGTTTATTATATACTGCCACTTTAAAAATGAAATTAAAAATTGCCATTATTACTTAACGAAACATTCCAGTTATAGAGCATTGAATATAAGTAATTTAATTTTAAACGTTATGCAACATCCAAAGTAGATATAAAGTTTGTTTAATGTATGCATGATTTTGAATGCATTGCAGAGTAGTAATGAAACAGAAGTAGCTACAATTTCTATGAAAATAATCTTATTACAAGTACATATTATATTGAGTAACTTTATCTCTTTATCTTATATCTTCATTTTGAAGTAATTAAATTGAAATTATGTATACGAACTATCAGTAAGTGGTTGATTTACACAAGACTTAAAAAAGAAAGTTGTAAATAAAAGGTGCATTGCTTTATTTGTAACAGTGAATAGAGAAATGTATGTTTTATCATACTTTTATATAATCTATTTTCGTTCTGATGTAATCAATGTAATTGAAAAATTAAATAAATGTTACATTGCATTTAATTAAGTAATTTCTATCTTATCTCAAATTACTAGTCTTACTTGAGATTATTACTTATTGCAAATTATATTTGCTATATAAATAAAATTGAAATACAATTAAAACACATTGTTAGAATTTTTTTTTGTCTGACTATTTGTTTGTTCACTTGTTTCGGGTTACCTCTAATTCTGTTGTACTGATTTCAATTAAACGACTACTTATTTATTTATTCATAATTTTGTTCAACTCACGCGTAAAGAAAGCTGCCGATAGAAAGGACATCAACGCGGCCGAAACTGAAGGTCAGTCTGCATGCAATTCCGAATCGTATATAATCGTAGATAGTTGCTGGTGTTTATAATAGTTCGAGGCGGCCAATGTTGAACAACAGTATAATAAACTCACCACGCGTAATAGTTTTTCGTATTTTAATATTTTAATTTAAAATCGTCAATGATTGTCGGAGACAGACTACGGAAAATTCTTTGCACGGTGAACGTGTTAAATAATTGTGTATCGTCAGCACAAATGAACGTAAAAAGCACATTGTCGAAGGACACAATAATGTCAAATGAATTTTAACGTATATCCGCACTAGCAGCGATAATATAAAAAAGCACAAAGATAAAAAGCGAATCACCGTAGGAAAGTGCTCTTCTTTACGTGAACGTACGCGCGTTGCTGGGCGGAACTAAAGCTGCTGTGACAGCTTCCGGTTGCCCTCGGCGCGCGGCATCATTCAATTTAAAAAATTACTACTGCTTGAATCGACAGCTTTCCGAAATCTCCTTTACGGCAAGCCATCAAAATTTCCATCGCTGTGAAAATATTATTTCTACTCGATTTAGCTGACACATTAGATACGACTGAAAGACTAGGTTATCTTCAAATTAATTACGCGAAACAAAGAATTGTTACACAAATAAAAATGTCATTTCTAATTTCGCTAAACATTTGTTAAACGTTACGAAAACAATTTTTTCATTGTTCTTTGAATAACGAGACCTGCAGTGTCTTTTCTTCGAAGTAGAATCGAAGAGAGATGCTCAATTATTTAGGTTATTTAAAAAATATAATTTAAAAAAGTCCAAGTCAGCTCGATACCCATTGTTAATTTTGTTATCAATAAATGTTCGAAAACGTTCTATTAAAATGTACTGGATTCTTCGTAAATGGTTATACTATAAAGATTTTGGCCTAGGTTGTTATCCGAGAGAAAAGTCTATGTTATCCTAGGAAAATTGATGGCGTTATAGAACTTGACCGACATAATTCACGTCCACATTTTGATCGAGAATTATGACAGGGTATCTGTCACGGTCATCATCGATGGTAACTTCGTGGATACCAAGGGACGCAATGTTTCTCTCGGTAAGGGGTGGCGAAAGAAAGGATAATGGAGAGAAAGCGAGAAAGAACTAGTAACTTACGGTGTATCGGAATGGCCGCAAGTTAGGGGTCTTGTACTACCTCGATACATCATCGTTAGAGAACTTTGGACGGCTTCCCGGTTACGCCATTGATGGCTTCCTCCGATAGGACATGATGTATCTGCCTCGCATTGCTGCAACGTGGAAGTACGAGTCGGATGCAATTTGAAAGTAAAAGTACAAATTAAGCGATAGTAAAACATTTGTCGACCGGTTGTGTTTACACGGGGTGTTCGGCCACCCCTGGGAAAAATTTTAATGGGAGATTCTAGAGGCCAAAATAAGACGAAAGTCAAGAATATCTATTTCTTGACTGAGACTTCCTTAAAAAGTTATTAAAAAATTTCAAATCATTCACGGAAAAATTATTTTCGGTTGCGGGGGTCAATTGCAATCAATTTTGGTGAATAAACATACCCCCGAATTCCTGCGCACTTTCGAGAAAAAAATTCGAGTATGTGCTGAAATTTTTCGGCGAAATTAAAAAATTTCAAATAGTTCTGAAAAAATTATTTTTGGTTGTGGGGGCCAATTACAATCAGTTTTGGTCAATAGACATACCCCAGAAATGGTACGCACTTTCGAGAAAAAAATTCTTTACCGAAAATATACTTTGTGACTGGAAATGTTTCTATAAATTTTTAACGAAGCCTCAATCAACAAATTAGTATCCTTGATTTTCGTTCTATTTTGGCCTCTAGAATCTCCCATTAAAATTTTTCCCAGGGATGGCCGAGCAACCTGTATATCAATCATGTCATTCGTGGTACCCAGTGACGATCTGTTTTTAACCTGGGTCAATGCGTAAATTATTATTTAAATTGATTGCATAATACGAGTCCTTGGCCTCATCAACAGAGTAGCGCAATCATTCCGACAATATGTCATAATGTCTTGAGAAACGGTAATGTTAGATATCTTATTTGTACGCTGCGTGATTAGATTACAAACACAGGTATTCTCAAATTATTTAAATTATATGTTCCTGTCAGAAATCTGAATACTTTTTGTAATCAGTTATATGTAAAAATGAGAAATGTTTTAATCCATGTTGCAAGGTCAAAATGTTTCACTCTTCCTTGAACGTTCGATCGTTGAGACTGTTTCCCCAGTTTCGTTTTCTCAGAGTTTTAGATTTCCATAGAGGACACAGAGTATATCAATGTTTACGATTCAAACGAAACTTTGGATCCGCGCTTTCTACAACAGGTCTTGGTAGCAATTTGCCTGGCACGTTTCTCAGAATACGAAGTCAACTTCGCCTCGTTAGTTCCTCAGGTGGCTCGTGCCTGTTGTCAACTCTCTTAGCGTCCTCGTACCTAATGTCCCTTAGCTAGAAACTAACGCCTAGTTGCCAAACGTGATGCAACGGATAATGCGACAAGTTTGCTGTCCAGGGATTATGCGACTGACCAGTTTACGGCTCGACTCTCCTCGCGCATTCACGCTATCCATATTTGAAGGAAGCCCCAAGTTATCCTCGAACGTTTATATTAGTAAATTCGAACCTGCTAGTAATCGCAATTTCTGTGAAAAATATCTAAGAGACGATAATGTCAAAAATATAGGAATTTATATAAAAAACTGTGATCTAATCTTGAAGTCACGCCATAACCTTGTGTATCGATTACGCAAGTATTTAATCACAGTCGTGAAAAAGTTGGAACACATACTATTAATCAATTGATTAAGGAAAATTGCCGACGCCCATTTTTCTCTTTCCTTCGCGATAACGACTACGGGGAAAAAGAACAACAGACGGTTGAACTTGATCGATTAAATTATCGATTGAATCGAAAGTAAAGAGTCGGCTTTCCTCCTTCGTTTCTTCCTTCCAGCCATTAATTATTTTTTCCCCCGGAGATAATAGTGGTCCGTTATAACCTCTGCAGATTATGAAACGACTAGGACGGGCATCAAGGATTTTCTCAAAAATTTGTATCCGCGGGGAGGAGAAAGGTAGAAACGATTACCCGCATGTCGACCCACATGCATGCACGTACACCTAACAGGAACGAGATGGTAGAACTAAATTAAGGTTTTTTTTACCCCGGCCCGCCCTTTGCACAATGCCGCGGAAATAGACTTCCACCGACTCTTTGAAAACTATTCTCATTTTCCGTCGCGAAACTTGACGGAAACGACTGTTGGCGACAAGGGGACAAATTAACGTAATGCCAGATATTTTTCCGATGATACGTTGAAAGAGTTGCGATTCTAACGCATACGAGAGTCTTGTTAATTCCGAGACCGACAATCGGCCTTTGCGGAGAAAATACGTGCTTCGTAATCGCATCTGCAGAGAATATCATAGCGAAGAGCAAACAAGCGTGGAAGCTTGGTTTCGAAATCTATTTTAGACTATTCCGAACGATTTGAACCGTTGTTTTTTTAAACAAATTTTTTATTTTGTCAAGGTGGCGTAGCACGTAACGCTTGGGTGAGTCAATTGTTATGAAATTCTGATTTCTTTCGCGACGAGAGTTTTTTCTTGGCAAGTGACACTTCGACCGAACGTTCCTCATCATTTTTTGCGCATTAATGCACTTTTCGAGGAGGACCGTGGGCCGATGTGTGCGTGCAAGCCTTCGGGGGCTCGCGCGTCGCTTCGCACCGACGACGGGAACGGTTATCCAATATCAAATTAGCGTACGTCAGGGCAAGTTCTTCCATGGCGTGTGCTCGTGCTCTGTGCACCAAATAACTCCATTTTCGCTGACATAACTTGTAATCGTATAATCTACCGGGCAGTCTGCCCAGAACGAACGGCTCCGTTCTTCGCCGATCACGGAAAATGAGAAACGTCCGCTTTATGTACCGACGCCGATCGTTTAGCCGCAACTGATCCAAATCGAATTTCTGTTAACGTTGAAGGACGCTCGTTAATCCGTCAAGTTGAACGTTTCTCGTGAGATCTTCATTCGATTATCTCCATCTCCGGTTAACGATCATTGATATAGAAAAATGCCAAGGATTACAAATCGTACGGATATAATGGCTGACTCATGATGTGTGCTCTTCGCGACGATAAGGCGCCGGTTGATAATGAATTATATTATTGCACAATAGTTATTTAATAGGAATCGTATGACTCGTGAAAAAGTATTGGTTTTGTAACGTACTTTACACGATTATCTTATCGGAGTAATTTTTAGTTTAGACTTAAAAAGACTGTGTTTACGCTTGACAATAATGGGTACAATAACACTGTTATTTAACAAAATTTTATTATGTCTTGTTTCATGCGTACTATTTTGAACTTGCAAACAAGTTTCTCTTGTTTTTCATCCCTAGCACAAGTTAGAAGGTGTTTTAATTAGAAGTTTCACGAGTGCATTATTTAGTAACTGTAGCATCGATCCTGTTCAACGTCTACAGTGTCTTGTATTCCAAGGAAGAAATAATCAAACAACGTTCGCAAGATCAATATTCTTTCCTTTAGTGCATAATTTAGAATCACAT